TAAACCAAAATATGTGTGTAAAAATAAAAAAAAATTAAAAAAAAATGTTTACCTTGTTTTATAAAGTATCCTCCCGACAAGTATTTCAGTGCGGACCTGTATTTGATCGTGAGGTCTTGGAGCACCGGCATGCCGTACATATGTGAGGTCTTAAGTCAAATGATTCACGAACCCGTTGTACTACATTAACAAAGGCACGAGGGGTTGGTTGCACTCGATTGGGAAACCGATCCGCATAAACATGTGCCATTTTTTATTTCGTTTGAGCCACGCAACACACACCACTATTCACTGACACTGACTGTATACAAATGAATAAAATAATTGTAAAAACATCGTTCCAAATTCTTTCGCTTTTTTGTTTCCGATGCGATGAACCGATACGGCGGATTATATCCGTTGTCGCCAAACACGAGCACATAATATTATTATTGAGACAGGGCGGTACTCAAACTTCCAAAGGGCTATAACTTTGTTACTTTAATTTTACCAGAAAAATGGCAAAGGAAAAAACATTTATTTTGATCAGATTTACTCACTGTTAAAATAAATGACTCAACTTCGAAGTCACCCTGTATATCTATATCATGTCCACGTACGCCGTATGTGGATGTGGATAATATGGGTGTCAAATGGAAGGGCTTGATGAGAGAAACACAATAAGTATTGTGATGTCATTTTAAATCCGATATGGCGAACGCCCTAAGATGGCGTTTATAATTATTATAGTCATCCTATGATATAGGTAGGTATCAAATTAAGGGGTTGGATGAGAGAAACATAACGAGCAACGTGACGTCTTTCCAAGTCCAATGTGGAGAACGCCATAAAATGACGATTTATAATTTTCATTGGTATCAAATGAAAGGGCCTAATTAGAGAAACAAAAGTTTCGTATGAGGATAACGTTTATTAATAATAATAATTAATTAAAAACAAGCTAAAAACATTAATATAATTGAGCGATAATGACGTTCCTTCATCTCAAATTCTTGAATAAAAGGGTTTGAGACGTTTTGATGGAACAATGCTGTAACACACTTTGATTTGAAAATTTGAGAGGAAGGAGCTCGATTAACGTTTAATTATTTCCAATCGAAAAGATACTTTTAAGTTTTTATTTCGTTTCTACGATCAGCTAAATAAAAGCTTATTTTTAAAAAAAATGGATCTTTTTATAATTTATCTCTTCTAATTTGATATACTCTGTGCCTGTATTGCGATAAGCAGTGACGTCATTTCAAATCGAATAAGGCGATACCCCAAGATGGCGTTTATAATTATTATATACTAAGTGACATATAAATCCGAACACCCAGTTTAAATGGTTTTATTTTAATAAAAGTTGGTGAATGAATTTATCTTACTGTAAATAACAAGTGAAAAAATTTTCAGCCTTATCAGTTGGACATTCCGGTTTTTATACTGCTTTTTTTTAATTCACTAACTTACTAAAAATGAATATTTCAGCCGCAGTAAAGAATCAATGTTGGCGGATTTTGGTTCTTGACATCCTTTACGATCGGTTACGATGCCTAGAGTACGGAGACCTGTACGATTTCGTCAACTTAGTGAGTTTGATAGGGGCCGTATAGTGGGACTTCAGGAAGCTGGACTTTCTTTTCGGGCAATTGCAGTTAGAGTGCAAAGAAGTGTAGACACTGTGGTTAGGTGTTGTCAGGCATGGCTTCGAGAAGGCCGTACGCAAAGAGCAAGGGGCACTGGACGCCGCCGTAGAACAACAGACCGTGAAGATCGCCGCCTAAGATTATTGGCCTTAAGAGACCGTTTCTCCACTACCAGGTCCATTGTAAATGAATGGTTTGCAGAACACGGAAGACCTATTGGCATGCGAAGTGTTTACCGACGAATGAGAAGTTTTGGCTTGTTTCCATACTGGCCACACTGGGTCCTCGCGTTAACTCGAGAACACCGACGTAATCGCCTTGAGTGGTGCAGACAACGGTCACTCTGGGATCAGGAATGGAACAGTATTGTCTTTAGTGACGAGTCTCGATTTTGTTTAGGCATGCACGATGGTCGTGCCAGGGTTAGAAGGCGACGTGGTGAAAGGAAGAATCCACAGTTTTTTGTTGAAAGACATGTTCATCACACTGTTGGAGTTATGGTTTGGGGTACCTATAGCTTATGGTTCCAGGTCACCTTTAATCTTCATCAGAGGTAACATGAACGCGCAGCGTTATATCCACGAAGTTCTAGAACCCCATCTTTTACCCTGTCTTGACACCCTGGCAGATCCAACTTTCCAACAAGATAATGCCCGACCACATGTTGCAAGAGTCACAATAGACTTCTTTCAACATAATGATGTCACATTGTTACCATGGCCACCAAGATCTCCCGACTTATCCCCAATTGAGCACGTGTGGGATATGATGGGTAGGAGATTGCTCAATTTGCAACGTCCTCCTCAGACTCTAGAAGCACTTCGAGAGGAGTTGGTGGTTGCCTGGAATGAGATACCACAGGAGGACATTGACCACCTGATCAGAAGCATGCCTAGGCGCGTTCAGGGTGCATCCACACATTATTAAAGGTCAAAGGGCTTTAAAGCAGTACAATCATTTTGAAATTTTTATCATTTACTTATTATGCTTCATTAAGTACTTATACAAAATTTTATTAAAATAAAACCATTTAAACTGGGTGTTCGGATTTATATGTCACTTAGTATAGTTGGGTACCCCCATGATACACGTATCAAATTAAAGCGCTTTTTGAGAGAAACATAACAAGCAACGTGACATCATTCCAAATCAAATATGGCGTCACCGCAAGCGATTGATCTATCATTATATATTTTGTAGTACAAATAAAATAAGTGGTTGCATAGAATCCATCAAATCTGTGAATATTATATAGAAATTGCCAAACTAATTATTTGACATCATGAATATTGTCAGTGACATTAGAAGTGTTACACCCAGAAAAAAAATTTTTTGCCAACATAATGGCAACAATGTAAAGGTTTTATCTTTGTTTTTGTTTACCTTTGTTAAAATGTTATCTCTTAGCTTTTGTGAGATGAAGAAGCTCCATTAATTATGTATACTAAGTGACATATAAATCCGAACACCCAGTTTAAATGGTTGCCAAAATATTAGAGGCTATTAAACTGTCCACATTCTCAGGATCGATAAGTCCAACGAATTTGGACTAGGTGGAAGTGGCAAGTGTGGGTATAATTTGTTAAAAATAAAAAGTTCACTCATGAAGTGGAATATTGATAGCATATCTAAAATTCGAAGAACAGTGGAACAGCAAAATCTCAGTATCGGGTTTAAAAGCGAAAAATCAGAGAAAAAAAGTAGATTGACTTTGCATAAGTTAACGCCTGTTAAAAATAAGCTACGAAATGAAGTAGAATGAAAAAATCGAAGAAATAAGTAGATAGGGTTTAAATACTAAGTGACATATAAATCCGAACACCCAGTTTAAATGGTTTTATTTTAATAAAATTTTGTACAAGTACTTAATGAAGCATAATAAGTAAATGATAAAAATTTCAAAACGATTGCACTGCTTTAAAGCCCTTTAACCTTTAATAATGTGTGGATGCACCCTGATGTGCTACGCATTCTCCATCGCGCCTAGGCATGCTTCTGATCAGGTGGTCAATGTCCTCCTGTGGTATCTCATTCCAGGCAACCACCAACTCCTCTCGAAGTGCTTCTAGAGTCTGAGGAGGACGTTGCAAATTGAGCAATCTCCTACCCATCATATCCTACACGTGCTCAATTGGGGATAAGTCGGGAGATCTTGGTGGCCATGGTAACACTATGACATCATTATGTTGAAAGAAGTCTATTGTGACTCTTGCAACATGTGGTCGGGCATTATCTTGTTTTAAAGTTGGGTGTCAAGAAAGGGTAAAAGATGGGGTTCTAGAACTTCGTGGATATAACGCTGTGCGTTCATGTTACCTCTGATGAAGATTAAAGGTGACCTGGAACCATAAGCTATAGCACCCCAACAGTGTGATGAACATGCCTTTCAACGAAAAAATGTGGATTCCTCCTTTCACCACGTCGCCTTCTAACCCTGGCACGACCATCGTGCATGCCTAAACAAAATCGAGACTCATCACTAAAGACAATATCTACTGTTCCATTCCTGATCCCAGAGTGACCGTTGTCTGCACCACTCAAGGCGATTACGTCGGTGTTCTCGAGTTAAAGGGAGGACCCAGTGTGGCCGGCATGAAAACAAGCCAAAACTTCTCATTCGTCGGTAAACACTTCGCATGCCAATAGGTCTTCCGTGTTCTGCAAACCATTCATTTGCAATGGACCTGGTAGTGGAGAAACGGTCCCTTAAGGCCAATAATCTTAGGCAGCGATCTTCACGGTCTGTTGTTCTACGGCGGCGTCCAGTGCCCCTTGCTCTTTGCGTACGGCCTTCTCGAAGCCATGCCTGACAACACCTAACCACAGTATCAAACTCACTAAGTTGACGAAACCCTATAGGTCTCCGTACTCTAGGCATCGTAACCGATCGTAAAGGATGTCAAGAACCAAAATCCGCCAACGTTGATTCTTTACTGCGGTTGAAATATTCATTTTTAGAGCGTTAGTGAATTAAAAAAAGCAGTATAAAAACCGGAATGTCGAAATGATAAGGCTGAAAATTTTTTCACTTGTAAGATAAATACATTCACCAACTTTTATTAAAATAAAACCATTTAAACTGGGTGTTCGGATTTATATGTCACTTAGTATATTTCTTCTTCCTCTAAGCTTTAATTTCGTTTTTACGATCAGCTAAATAGAAGCTCGTTTTTAAAAATGCAACTCTGTATTGTTTATCTCTTCTAATTTTATATAGTATGTGCATATATCCTATAATTTCTGGAAGGCAAGCGTGATAACGATACCGCGCGGACGTCGTCCCGGACTCGGCAACGTCGCAAAACGTATCAGCGCCTGCTAGTCGGCGCCAACTTCAATCCAGTTCCAAGATCGCCTTCATCGCGGAAGAACGTGGTTGGCCGGTTCGAAGTGATCGTAGACGCCGTCGCGTTCAAAACAATCGAATCGCGTCGACTGATAGTGACGCACGCCGCTCGCGACAGGTGTCAGGTGCTGTGCCGTCGTTTTGACGTTTACGTCGCGCGCGACTAATCGCGCCCGCTCCTCTCCGTGAGCGATTCCAGACTCGAGTTTTTCCAAGGTACCGTTCGTGGATTTGCTGACAGCGGCGGTGAATCTTACATCTTTGACAGGTAGAGATTCTTCGTTGTTGTAGCGGCGTTTGTAGCGTCTATGCTTCGTATCTTGTTGAACTTGAAACCGCGATTAACTGGAACTTCCGGTCTTTTATCGTACCACGCTCTTCATTGGTCGATCGCAGGTTTGGGCTTAATTCAATTTAGTGGCCGTGGAAGATACGCGATCATCTGTGTGACAGTTGGAAAAAATTGCCGGGTTGATATACCGGTACAGGATTGGATTAAGGTTTCCTTGAAACATTGTACCTATACCTTGCCCGGAAACTATGAATTCGTATAGGCAGTGGAAGATCTTGAATTATCAATCGTCAAAAACATCCTTTATCTTAAAGACGTTTTAAAACCGTCAGTTTGAGATATTAGAGACGTCGCAGAGACATTGTGTCATGCGACATCTTGAAGACGTTTGTTACAAAAACTATGCGTCTTAAAGACGTCTTTAATGCGGTATTAAAAATACATAATAAAAACCGACGAATTACTAGTGTTTTTATTAAAAAAAAAAAAAATAATTTTGTGTTATCAAACTTATTCTGGGTGGCTGTCCAGCGATCTGAAGCTCGTCTCAGTTAAGCCCCGGCTGCTAGCTCCACCTCATGGTGGCTCTGGCATGCACCAGCCCTTTCGGCAGATACTGAAATAAATAAGTTGCTCCATAAAATGTTTAATGTTGTTACCTAAAATGTTTTTACGTCGCGCTTATACTTTTTAGTATCCTTGTTGGCGAAACAGAAATGAGTGAATAATCAGGTGTGATATTTTTAAATCTTTGAAGGGATCCTTTGCCTTTCGGACACAGAAACTGTATTTAAGCGCTATTGAATTAGTTAAAAATCGTACATACTCTTGAGTATTGCTCGACCTGAAAATAATAAGTCAGAATAGCTTGCCTTGTAGAATTCAATTAAGATTCCGATTGACGTTTTGTTGCGAATTTATGTTATACAGGGTGGCGCATCGAAAACGAAACAGACGCATTTACTGACAGCTCAGTTTTTTTTTTTTTGGAAAAACGCTCAGACCCGTCGATTTTGTTTTCGAGGGGACACAAGTTTGGCAAAAAATCACGTTAACACGTGCAGCCCCCTGGGCGGGAGTGGCACCAACCCTAAAATCCTAAATGGAAAGGGGGGTCGAGTGATACCTTATTTTAAAGGTCTTTCAGTTCCCTTCATAATGATGTAAAATACATGAGCTTCAGTTCAGTAGTTTTGAAGATTTATTGATTTAAAGCTTAAAGTAGACTTTAATAGGTACATCAGATTAGTTTGTAGTACTTTCAGAAGAAATTTGACTAAAAGAATTTACTTAATATGTAAATGGCGTTCCCCTTTTCCCTGTATCCCCCTATAGCTCCACGGTACCGAATGGGTGTTTAGGTTAGGCCTTAGGCCTTCGTGGTAGTTGGAATATAAAAAAAACAACATCATTAGAAGACCTGCGACAAAGAATTGTGAATGAGTGCCTTCAAATTACTCCTCAAATATTGCAAAATGTGCGGCAATGTTTTGAGCAAAATCTTTATTATTGCATGTAGAGTCTTGGTGGCCATTTTCAACATTTACTTGCCTAACGGGTCAGTTCATTCTTCATTTTTAAATTACTTTGCTGCTCTGCTGTATTGATCTCCACTAATGATGATGTATTAGTTTTATTTAAGCTTTAAATCAATAAATATTCAAAACTACTGAACTGAAGTACATTAATTTTATATCATTATAAAAGGAATTGAAAGACCTTTAAAATAAGGTATCACTCGACCCCCCTTTCCATTTAAGATTTTGGGGGTGGTGTCACCCCCGCTTAGGGGGCTGCACGTGCTAACGTGATTTTTTGACAAACTTGTGTCCCCCTCGAAAATAAAATCGACGGGTCTGAGCGTTTTTCCAAAAAAAAACTGAGCACACCCTGTATATATATAAGTTTGTCCATTATTGTGTTGGTATGTATTTTAATTTGATTTTATCTTATTTTTCTTCCTACTTCCGCACTTTTTAAGTTTTTTCATTATCACAACCTTTATTCTGTTCCTATTTTTAGTCATATACGTGTAAGATGATGTGTTTATGTGCGGATCTCTATATTTGTATTTATTCATTATTAATTTAGTTTTTGTTTTCTGGTTTTTCTTTTTCTTTTCCAGTTTTTTTTTTCGTAATTTAAGTATGACTTGTTTTGTATTTCTTTGAAATCGACAAAACCATAAAGAATTTGAATCTGAATTTGAATTTTGAATCAGGTGCATGTAGTTTGTCAGTGGCGTAATCAAGAAGGTTGGGCTTTGTAGCTCAAGCCGCCCCCCTCCAAATACAACATCCCATCTTCCTAGGCGAATCGGGATTGACCACCAATATATTTCCGCCTCTCGTTCTTCATTTGACACAGACTTATTTCTGAACATGAATTCGCTGCCGCCCCCCTTGAACTTTTTCTGGATACGCCAGTGGTGTGAAGTAGTAGGTAATGGCTTCCAAAAAACTTGGAATTCCTCGACTATCAGCACAACTAAAAGAAGTAAAGGACAATAAATCTATGATGAATAAGAATTTTTTAAAAGGTTTTTGAAAACGTTTTATCTACTAGAATGATTCGATACCTCACAAAATTCAAAATTTTAAGTGAAAATCAATATGGATTTACAGAAGGGAAGGCTACATCGGACGCAATAACTAAAATTGTAAATCAAATACATCAAAATATTGATAACAGAATCCCTTCAATCTGCATTTTTGTTGATTTAAAGAGAGCTTTCGACACAGTTAATCACAAATTATTATTAGAAGCATTGGAGAGAATTGGTTTTAGAGAAAACGCGTACTCACTGATCGAAAATTATTTGTCAAATCGCCCACAATCTGTGCAGATATCAGGATCATTTAGTAAAGAAATGTATATTAAGTGTGGTGTCCCACAAGGAACTGTCTTAGGTCCGCTATATATTTAAATGATATTTTCCAAATTAATTGTGTTGGCAAAATAACTAGTTTTGCAGATGATACTGCAGTATTATATGAAGGCACTGACTGGTCTGATCTGAAAAATGTAATTGAAAATGATTTATCAAAATTATTCGGTGGTTTAACAGTAGAAAATTAAGCATTAACTACTCTAAACACATTTTTACCATTTGGATCTTATGCTAGACATCTGCCAAATTACACAAATTTCTCCTTCAATATTAATGATCAAAAAATGCAAATTAATAGAGTGCCCAACATAAAATACCTTGGAGTGGTCTTGGATCCTCACTTACGATGGGACATCTATGTCAATTATATTTTAAAGAAAGTTAGATTTGTATCCTACAAAATTAAATACCTTGAGAATATATTGACAGAAAAATATCTTCGAACATTATACCATGCACTGATTGAGCCTCATCTCACATATGGTATATTAGCATGGGGAGCTGCATGTTCCTCACATATCCATAATTTAGATGTTTTTCAAAAAAGTATTCTAAAAATGATATTTAAAAAACCGAAACTTTATCCCACTGAAAAATTATACGCAGATGTTCGAATGTATGATATAAGACAGCTTTATTTCTTACACAGTATCACTCACTACCATAAATTTGTAAACACCGACCAAAAATTAAACATAATCATTATACCAGGTACAAAATTCGTGGCACAGTAGTTCCTCAACCGCATAAATCTATAATGCAGCGATCATATCTCTATTTAGCGCCTAAACTTTATGAAATTATACCTAAAGACTTAAAAGATTTACGTTTCGGAAATTGTTTCAAAAGGAATTTAAAAAAGTGGCTACATTCTATATCTAGGACTGAAATTCATAAACTCATAAATACGAACATCAACTAAATACATAATCTACTGTAGCTAATTTATGTCCTTTTTTGTCATTTGCATTCTACAGTTTCAACTTAAATTTATTGGTCCATGTACAGGCGATGCCTTCTATTGGGCCTGTTTTGATTTTATATTTATTTACTCATATTGCTTGTTATCTTTGTACATTGAGTGAATAAATATTATTATTATTATTATTATTATTATTATTATTATTAGTAGTATGATTATAATGACGTAACCGTTTAAAAGAGGTAGCAGTTAGATTTTGTAAAGTTGATGGATGGGAACATTCAATTATAAAATTACGCTTCTTCAATTCCTTTATGTGATTTATTCGTTTTCATCCCTTTTTTTTATTGGATCTTACAAGAGCAAATTTCCACTTTTCTGGGAAGGTTCCGGCTTCGTAATATTTCTGGAGCAAGCTCCGCTGCGCACTTGTCCAATACAACCCGTCGATCGCGAGCAAAGGCAATTCTGGTGGCTCACATCATATTCTAAAAAGGTATAAAAATCATAGAAGCTTTCGTAAATTTTGTAAATTCCCATAAGAAACACAAGCAGCGGCAACACTGCGGTGAGCGATCTGATCGAGAACGATCTCTACTACTTTGAACGGAATAAATACTACGATTGGTAGGAACGGATGTAGTTATGTGGTATGTATTAGTTATTATTTTATTTAAGTTTGTTCGTAAGTATTAGTAAAATAAACACATGCATGTCGCATACAACTGTGTATAATTTCATTTAAGTTGGCTTACATTGCCTACGACACTGTTTATTCCAAAGTAGCTCAACACACTGAAAAGGTCGTCGACCACTACTTTGGACAATACTTTGCTTGTACAAAACGTCCTGGACGCAAAATTGGATTTACTTTTATATGAACTTTATAATATACTAAGTGACATATAAATCCGAACACCCAGTTTAAATGGTTTTATTTTAATAAATATTGTATAAGTACTTAATGAAGCATAATAAGTAAATGGTAAAAATTTCAAAATGATTGCACTGCTTTAAAGCCCTTTGACCTTTAATAATGTGTGGATGCACCCTGATGTGCTACGCATTCTCCAACGCGTCTAGGCATGCTTCTGATCAGGTGGTCAATGTCTTCCTGTGGTATCTCATTCCAGGCAACCGCCAACTCCTCTCGAAGTGCTTCTAGTGTCTGAGGAGGACGTTGCAAATTGAGCAATCTCCTACCCATCATATCCCACACGTGCT